CAGGCAGGCAGGCAGGCAGGCAGGCAGGCAGGCAGGCAGGCAGGCAGGCAGGCAGGAAGGAAGGAAGGAAGGAAGGAAGGAAGGAAGGAAGGAAGGAAGGAAGGAAGGAAGGAAGGAAGGAAGGAAGGAAGGAAGGAAGGAAGGAAGGAAGGAAGGAAGGAAGGAAGGAAGGAAGGAACGAAGGAACGAAGGAACGAAGGAAGGAAGAAGGAAGGAAGGAAGGAAGGAAGGAAGGAAGGAAGGAAGGAAGGAAGGAAGGAAGGAAGGAAGGAAGGAAGGAAGGAAGGAAGGAAGGAAGGAAGGAAGGAAGGAAGGAAGGAAGGAAGGAAGGAAGAAGGAAGGAAGGAAGGAAGGAAGGATAATGTTCGATAAGTCACTCACCTTGGACGTGAATGAGAGAATTGAGTGTACAAGCTTTCTGTCAGTGATGGTCAGATCTGCAGCATCCACTTTCCACCACCAGAGATCTCGGTCACTGTGTTTCTTCCAGCGTCTGTGTGGATTGTAACTAAAGTCAAGTAAGTAAGTAAAGCCATTTCAGTCGGGGGAGCTGCGGGGTCTCGGGGCATGGCGTCCGCCTCGAGTGCTCTAGATCCCGGGTTCAAGCCGTAGACTTTAAATAATTTCCTCTGGTCTCTGGGTAGTAAGATTGGACGCCCGTTTGTATTATTGCGCACGTAAAAAATGGTTTTTCTTTTTCTTTTTCTTCTTCTCTTCTTCTTTTTTTTAAAATCCACAAAAACATTATGTACATCTTTTCTATATTCCCAACTGTGCTCTGCTTTTTGCAGTAAAACGAATATCTTATCTATTGTTGATCTGTTCTGTTGGAAATCTTCTTATTAACCTCCCAATATGTCTTCGACGTATTGTTTTAGTCTGTTTAGCAGTACCGCGAAAGTATCTTATAGCTTGTAAGTAATAGTGATATCTATATATATAAAAATCAATGTTTGTGTGTTTGTTTGCCCCCTATGGACTCGGAGGATATGTTTGTTTTGATACCGGATGTTGAACCATCATGGTTTGAAATTCAACCTGTCACTGTTAGAGATAGGTGACCACAATTTAAGCCATAATGTTCGAAACTAATATTTATAATTTTAGTGATTTCTAATTATAGCCACGTTAGTAATTGCGCATGCGCCGTGCAGCCAACACCTCCTCTAATACATAGAGCCAAGACTATATCTATATCTGTGCAGGCAGTGATTGCCACAAAAACTATACTAGCCACGATTTCTATTTTCTGTTTGTTTTTTTAAAAACATCCTTCAATGAGTTGAAAAGTAGCCGATGGATTGGTAGGGAAAAAGAGAGGGGGGGGGGGCATCAGGGACTATCTCGACGTCTGCGTAGACATTGACTGCGACCTTAACAGTGTTAGACACGTGCGATTTCTTTTGTTGTGCCGTTTCATTAATATATTTGGAATATCTGTCCATGAGAAAACAATTGCCTCTGTTTTGAGGCGTGTTATAATCGGGACACTGCAGTAGGGACACACATCTAAAATAGTTGTGTTCTCTTTTCGCTTTCGATCGAGTGGTTGCTTGGTCGAATGGTTAGAACACTCGGCTCTTGAGAGGGAGACCAGGGTTTCGAATCCGCAGTAGTTTTTTTTTTTTTTTTACTTAGGGCCAAAATAAAATCCTCACCTGCACTGTCGTGGCGACAGCACTAGCCATATGGCCTTTAATGATATATATTTAAAAAAAAAAAAAAAAAAAAAACAAGGACAGGTTTGTGGGTAAACCAGTTGATAATTAAATTGGACAATTTCACATACTTATGATTTCATTTTGAACTTTTCGATTACATGCTTACGCTGAAATTTCATAGCTTTCCATTTATTTTCATTTAGATTTAATTATTTTATCTGCGTTGGAATTTCAAGTTGTGCTGTTTACCATAGCGTTTATTTCCTAATTCTGGTGTATTTTTCCTGTTTTAATTGCTTTTCAATTGGTTTTTTTCCCCTCTCAACTACATCGATGAGGGATGAGTAGTCGGTGAATTTGGGTGGGGGGGGGGGGGGGGGCAAACTGATTACTGAGAGAGCTTTAAGTCACAGTAACTGCTTTACCCATTCAAAGTAGCAGCAGCAGTAGTAGTTATGGTTGGGCGGTTACACTGTAGTGCTCTCATGTGAAGACCGCCGGTAAGGTTATGGCATTCTTCTGTCGGGGAGCGAATTTATACATCCTAACCTGACCAGTCCGTGGCGACAGCACTAGCTATGCGGCGCAAAATCTTCTGGCTCACGACTCCCTGTCTACTCCGATGGTAAAACAGATAGCAGTGACATTATTTTAGCTACTGTGGTGGTGGTCGTGGTAGTAGTTGTACTGGTACTTGAAGGATGATGCGGTAAATATTACATTAGCCCCATTCACTACATATTACAAGTCCTGCTCCCAATTTAGTCCGGATGGACAGAGATGTCAATGTCAGTTACAACAAAAGTAATGTCGCCAGGTGATGATTTTTCAATCTTTCGAAGAGGGAGAGAGCAGTAGTCGGTGGAAGAGGGGAAGGGGAGAGGGTAATGACTGAAATTTAAGAGAACTTGAAGAGCTTAACACATGATTTTTAAGTTCTCATTACTTACTTAAATTGTTTATATTTTATATTTTTATTTTTTATATTTTTATTTCTCTATTCTAATTTGTGTACGACTTACTTTGTTATTTACAAGTACAGTAGTAGCTTTACTTGCGTCCCCATTTAGCCAAACTATGCCACAGCAACGCGGGGCCGGGTACAGCTAGTTCCTCTACAATTTTCACTTGTACTTGTCTCCTTTCTTAAAATTTGTTTATATTAAAAGAGACACTTTCCACTCATGTGGCAATGTCTCCGTCTTTAAAACAAGTTTTATTAATTGTTATATCTTTATCACCAACTGCTTTTTTTTTGTTTTTAAGCCGTGTTGTGGTATACAGTACTTCTTCAAAATCAGGCTCTTTAATATTTGGTTCACATGGTAGTATCTCTTCCTGTGAATAAGTATTAAGTGGAGTTTCACAGTTTAACAATTCGCCAGGTGATGATTTTTCAATCTTTCGAAGAGGGAGAGAGCAGTAGTCGGTGGAAGAGGGGAAGGGGAGAGGGTAATGACTGAAATTTAAGAGAACTTGAAGAGCTTTACACATGATTTTTAAGTTCTCATTACTTACTTAAATTGTTTATATTTTACTAACGCTACCTTCTCTATTCTAATTTGTGTACGACTTACTTTGTTATTTACAAGTACAGTAGTAGCTTTACTTACGTCCCCTATAAAAATACAAACAGCTTTAGCATGTGATAACCAAATGACTATTTTTGTTACTGTGCTAATAACACCATTTAAACGACCACTAATATAAAGAAACAATTATAAGGTGCGTGTTCTAAAGTTGGAAAACCAGACTATCTCTATATCTGTGCAGAAAATGATTGCGACATTAACTATATTAGACACGTGCGATTTCCATTGTCTTTCTTTTCCAAAAACCTTTGATGAGGGAGAGAGTAGTAGGTGGATTTAGTTGTGGTGGTTGGGGGGTAGGGGGGTAGGAAAAATCAAAGACTATCTCTATATCTGAGCAGACAATGATTGTATTAGACACGTGCGATTTCTATTTTCTTTTATTTCTATTTAGCCAAACTATGCCACAGCAACGCGGGGCCGGGTACAGCTAGTTCCTCTACAATTTTCACTTGTACTTGTCTCCTTTCTTAAAATTTGTTTATATTAAAAGAGACACTTTCCACTCATGTGGCAATGTCTCCGTCTTTAAAACAAGTTTTATTAATTGTTATATCTTTATCACCAACTGCTTTTTGTTTTTGTTTTTAAGCCGTGTTGTGGTATACAGTACTTCTTCAAAATCAGGCTCTTTAATATTTGGTTCACATGGTAGTATCTCTTCCTGTGGATAAATATTAAGTGGAGTTTCACAGTTTAACAATTCAGAAAAGTATTCCTTTCATCTGATTCATATTTCGTCATTATTATTTATCATGTTCCCATTATGATCTTTCAAACTATTATGCTTTTTTGATGTCCTAGTTTTACAGCCTTCTGTTTTTTTTAAAACTTTCTCGATTTGATCGATCTGATTTGTTCTCTTCCATATACATGTCAATGATGTTCATGTATTCTCGCTTTTTGTGCCCAACTACTTTTGTATCTTCTTTACATTCTGTTCTATATTTTTTCTTAATTTCGTGTGTTACTAGTATCATTTAGCCAGATCTGCCTGGCATGTTTTTTTCTTATTGGTGGTGTAGAAGGATCTGTTTAACCTGATTTTTTTTTTTTTTATGGACCAATCAGGTAGAGGTCACTGTGACACTCAGCTGCTCTGTAGCTTCTAACTTGTTGTAGGTTCATTGCATTTCTATGATTTATTACAATGTGCTCTTTTTTGATTCTAAGTTATCCTGTCAAATGATTGCCAGATTTGTTTATGTAAATGTTTTCTCTGAAATCTGGTGCTGCTTATATGTAGTCCTTTCGCTACGGCGAGGTTGATTCATCTCCATCCATTATCATTTCAAATAGTATGTAGGCTTTCCATACCTGCTACATTTGTATAAGTGTTTTCTCGTCTTGCATTAAAGTCCCCTAAAACAATGTATATGTCTCGTTTTCTAGCTTCACCTGTGATATTCTCAAGGAGACAAAGTGGATAAACAGCCTGAAAAATGCCTGTGCTAAAATAGTGAAGATAGCGAAATAGTTAATGAAAAAGAGAAACAGATAGACAAGGGACAAACACAAACACACACACACACTTACACACACACACACAGAGAGAGAGAGAGAGAGAGAGAGAGAGAGAGAGAGAGAGAGAGAGAGAGAGCATCGGAGAAAGATAGCGCAATAAAAGAGAAAGATAAAAAGAGAAGTTATCATATTTAAATATATAGAGTTTGAAAATTGAATTATTTGACTGATTAACTGCAAAGAAGTAAAAACATGAGTACAGAAAGACCAACACATGACAAACCTGAATAATATAAAAGCCATTGCCCCTCCCAGAACAGCGGCGACTGTGAAAAATCCACTGACACCTCCAATGACCCGACTGTTCGCTGAAGATAGAGTTTACATCTTTAAAAGTATAGATAAAGGGGCTGCGTGGTTTTGAGGCATGATGTCCGCCTCGAGTGCTAGAGGTTTCGGGTTCGATCCCTGGTAAGAGCTGGGATTTTTTCACGTGGATTTGGACTTCTAGTAATTCTCCCTGGTCTCTGGGTAGTGAGATCGGACGCCAGTGTGCATTGTTGCGCACGTAAAAAATCCCTTGGCAGTTAGTAGCCTAACGAGGCTGTCCAGGCGAAATTTGGAGTTGAAAATCTACCCAAGGTATTTCAGGTTCCTCGCCGTTGCTACAGAGCCTGTGCATTGTGCTGAGCTTCTTCGGACTCAAACTTGAGTTAGAAGAAGAACGGAGCACTTATGGGTTACTACCTGTGTGCCATGATGTCGATCAGTTGTTCAAACCTCAAACCTCAAGCATAGATATGTAGTTTAAATCTTGACAGAGATTTTGTCATGTAAATGTTAAAAATTATATATAGGTTTTACAATTTAAATCTGTATACATAACTTTCCTTTTCTTCTTCGCCTTCACACACTCAGAGCCCTTGAGGTTCGTTGCTGCATATATCACCCGCCACCATTCAGCTTTTACTATATTACAAGTTTGCCCATACATAGTTTAGTCATGGTGATCAACTTCTTTGGTATTCCAAAGTTCTCCATAAGATTCCAGAAACTGTTTCTATGTGCACTATCATATATATGTCTTTTTAAAATGCACCAAAATATTATATATATTTCATCTATACTGCCAGTTTTGCTCTGGTACCGAGAAAGGATGCTGTTTATGCGTCAATCTTCCTTGATGTTCAGATCTTTCAAGATGTCAGTATTTCTCATATTTTTTTGTCCAAGATATTCTGAGAATCTTTCTATAGCCTTTCAGCTCAAATGCCCTTATTGTCTTTCATAAGGACTGGGAGACAGTCCACGTGTGTCTCTCTAGCTGTCAATAAACCTCGCACTTTTGACATTTTTATTTGTGAGCCATTTCCCTTTTAAATTTCGATTTTATTTCTACATCCTCTGTTATCTCAGTTACATCAAAATGACAGGTATCAACTTGGCTGAAGTAAAACAAAAAAAAACAAAAATGATCAAAATATCCGAAAACACCAGAAGAATGGAAGTATAGAAATTGGCTAAAAAGCACTCAAAGGTGGTCGACACTCCTTTGGAAGTGAGCAACTGCCAATTACTGCCTTTATTATACCACTTTTGCGGTGTAGGCAAGGTAGGGTTGTGGGGGGGGGGGGGGTTGAACCTGAGGATTTACTGCCCCATGGCTGGTGCTGTCGCCACAGACTGTGCAGGTGAGGATTTTATTTTGCCTCTGACAGAACAAATCCCCAACCTTGCCGAGGATTCGAACTCGGGTCTCCCGCACCTTGATTAGAGCAATGGGCACCGGTATAACCACATTCCGGCTCATCACTGGGAGGCACCCCGTGGTTAAGTGGCCAAGGGAATGATTTGCTGCTATAGAACATGAGCGTGCTTTTCTCAGACTGAAAGACTGCGTATTTCTGTGAAAATTACACATAATGATGGATAGCAAATGTGTTCTATCTATCTATCTATCTATCTATCTATCTATCTATCTATCTATCTATCTATCTATCTATCTATCTATCTATCTATCTATCTATCTATCTATCTATCTATCTATCTATCTATCTATCTATCTATCTATCTATCTATCTATCTATCTATCTATCTATCTATCTATCTATCTATCTATCTATCTATCTATCTATCTATCTATCTATCTATCTATCTATCTATCTATCTATCTATCTATCTATCTATCTATCTATCTATCTATCTATCTATCTATCTATCTATCTATCTATCTATCTATCTATCTATCTATCTATCTATCTATCTATCTATCTATCTATCTATCTATCTATCTATCTATCTATCTATCTATCTATCTATCTATCTATCTATCTATCTATCTATCTATCTATCTATCTATCTATCTATCTATCTATCTATCTATCTATCTATCTATCTATCTATCTATCTATCTATCTATCTATCTATCTATCTATCTATCTATCTATCTATCTATCTATCTATCTATCTATCTATCTATCTATCTATCTATCTATCTGTCTATCTGTCTATCTGTCTATCTGTCTATCTGTCTGTCTGTCTGTCTGTCTGTCTGTCTGTCTGTCTGTCTGTCTGTCTGTCTGTCTGTCTGTCTGTCTGTCTGTCTGTCTGTCTGTCTGTCTGTCTGTCTGTCTGTCTGTCTGTCTGTCTGTCTGTCTGTCTGTCTGTCTGTCTGTCTGTCTGTCTGTCTGTCTGTCTGTCTGTCTGTCTGTCTGTCTGTCTGTCTGTCTGTCTGTCTGTCTGTCTGTCTGTCTGTCTGTCTGTCTGTCTGTCTGTCTGTCTGTCTGTCTGTCTGTCTGTCTGTCTGTCTGTCTGTCTGTCTGTCTGTCTGTCTGTCCGTCCGTCCGTCCGTCCGTTTGTCTGTCTGTCTCCTTGCCTAGGCCAATGTTGCTATTCGTCTGTCTTTAAGTTTAGGTATCTGTCGGTATACATATCACAGTCTGTCTATCAGTCACTATCCTGTCTGTCTGTGTATCTAAAAAGATCTCAAGTCCGCACCTGAAATTCCCGAGAGGCTGGGTTTAGAGCGATTATTGTAACGTCGGAGTTTCGATCGCCATTTTGGTTCAAGATAACTTTTCCTGTAACACCTGCAGACAGAGAGTCAGAGACAGACTGAGTGTAACATCGACAAGAGCAGACATATAAACACAGACACAAGCTTGCTACCACACACACATACATTACACCATTCATTGTCGCCTAGTGGGTTCACCTCCCCCCCCCCCTCCCCCCGATGCGTAGAACATAATTTTCATTAACAAAAAATGTGAGTACCAGCAGCAGTAGTAGTAGTAGTAGTAGTAGTAGTAGTAGTAGTAGTAGTAGTAGTAGTAGTAGTAGTAGTAGTAGTAGTAGTAGTAGTAGTAGTTGTTGTTGTTGTTGTTGTACTAGAAACGGTAGCAACAACAACAGTTTCTTTGTATGTGTTGTTTAGGGGGCGGGGAGGAAAAGGGGAGCTAGGAGGGGGAGAGAGGATGAAGTAATGATTTGAATTCGTAGAGTTAGTAGTAGTATTAGAGTAGTAACACATTACTGAACATCTATTTCTTCTTTAGCATTACAAGCCCTTGAGGTTCATTGCTGCAGATCACCCGCCTCCACTCATCTCTCTGGTTGGCCTTCTCTTTCCAGTTGGTGAAACCAAGTGTTTGCAGGTCTGTCTGGACATTATCTCTCCATCGTCTTCTTGGTCTGTCTCGCTGTCTTCGACCATTTAGCTCCTTCGTGTATGCAGTTTTTATCACTCTGTCATCTGATATTCTTTTAATATGCTTCAGCCATTTCAGTCTATTATATCTCAAATCAAAGGTGATTAGAAACAGATTATGAATTTCGTTGTTGCTTCTCACTTCCCATTCCTCACTGTTTGCATCTTTGATGGGTCCAGAGATTCGTCGTAAGACTATATTTTCGAAAACCTGTAATATAGCTTTATCTCTTTAAGTTGTGCTCCAAGTTTCAGAACTATATAAAACGACAGGTCTCATCTTCATTTTATATATCTTGATCTTGGTGTTGCGAGACCGACATTTTGACTTTAGCAGATGTTGAAAGACAAAGTATACTTCATGTCCACAATTGTATTCTAGATTGTATTTCTTCTCTCCAAGTACTTATCTGTTTCCGTTCGTTTGATTTTCATATTATCACTTATCTGTGGCCGGAGTTTATATCCTATCCCTGGTATGTTATTTTTTCATGTTTCTGACTTATCTGGATTGCTAACCCATTTTATGAGCTGCTTCTTTTAAGAGAGTCAATGGTTTTTTACGGTCTCTAGTTCATTTTCTCCAACTATATTAATGTCATCTGCATTACCAAGTATTTTTGTTGTTTCTCCTAAAGTTACACTCTTTTAATTTCCTGATAATTTTCTACAGGGCCAAGTTGAAATGAAGTGGGGACAGAGCAGCACCATGCGTTACACAAGATGTTGTGTGAAAAGGGTCTGATTTTAATCAACTACTTTTTAAAAAGTACTGTAACTGGCAGACATACCCACTAACTGCACGTTCTCTGTTTTTTCTCTCTCTTCCTCTCTATTCGTCTCTTTCTTTATTTTCTCTCTCTCTCTCTCTCTCTCGCCCACATACACATACACATACACACACACACACACCAGCACAATCGCCTGTACCCCAAAAAAAGCCCTCATTCTCCCACATGAAGACACATGCACACACCATACGGCTAATGACAATCAAGCAGCTAACCAGAAAAAGTCCGGTTCCACATTCGTTGAGTGATCGCCAATCCATCAAACGGATCATCTCCCTCCGCCAGACTTTCGTTGACAACCGTGGCGTACATAGTAACGGCGTCATAGTAACGAGACAGTGCTACGGTTGGCTGCAGGAGGAAAACAAAAATAAACATTACATTTTATTAATATTTTATGTAGATATACGATTTTTTGCCATTGAAGACACCGTCCCTCACGGAAAAGTCAGATCTTTGATACCTTCACCATGCTAAGTTGTTCATATTTAACAGAAACAATGGAAAAAGTCAAATCTTGAATTAGCCATGTTAAAACTTCCACTCGAAAGACCTGGTAGCCTTACAGACAAATAAATATATTAATTATCCTGCCACTTCGCCTTTTGTCCTACTGCCTATGTCATAAAGCATTTCATAGAGTAGTTTGATTTAGGTTTTTTTTCCCTACTAGCTGCTTTAGCTCGCGTAAATGTCCTTTCGCGTTTTTTTTAGTCTCTCTCTCTCTCTCTCTCTCTCTCTCTCTCTCTCTCTCTCTCTCTCTCTCTCTCTCTCTCTCTCTCTCTCTCTCTCTCTCTCTGCTCTTTTTTTCATGTAGTTAACTCTAGCTGCTGGCTTATTTTATTTTATTCTGACCAGATAACCAATCCATTTGACTCTTTGTTGCTCTGCCAGTACTGAGTCTGCTATTGTTGATTACAACAAGGATATATACATTATGACAACAAGAGGTTTACAACAAGATATACAACAAGATATCCATGATTTACAAGATACAACACGATCTACAACAGGACACACAACAAGGTTTACAACAAGACAGACAACAAGTTTTACAAGAAATACAATAATATATACAAAAAGATATACAACAAGATGTACAACTAGGTTTACAACAAGATTTGAAACAAAATGATACAAAAAGATATACAACAAGATATGCAAACCGGTTAGCAACAAGATACAGAGCAAGATATACGGTAAGTTATACAACAACATATACAACAAAGTTAAGAACAAGACATACAACAAGGTTTACAACAAGATATACAGCAACAAGATATACAGCAAGGTTTAAAAAAAAAACATACAACAAAGTTCAGAACAAGACAAACAACAAAGTTCAGAACATGACAAACAAAAAAGTTTACAACCAGACTTACAAAAACATTTTCAATAACATTTTCAAGACATACAGCAAGGTTTACAACAAGTCATGCAACAAGGTTTACATTAAGGCATACAACAAGGTTAACAACAAGACCCACAATAAGGTTTACAACAAGACAAACAACAAGGTTTAAAACAAAACACACAACAAGGTTTACAACAAGACACACAATAAGGTTTACAACAAGACACACAGGAAGGTTTACAACAAGGTTAACAACAAGACATACAACAATGTTTACAACAACATATACAACAAGGTTTACAACAAGATATACACCAAGGTATAAAACAAAACATACAACAAGGTTTACAACAAGACATACAACTAGGTTCACAAGACATACAGCTAGATATACAACAAGACAAACAGCAAGTTTTACAACAACAAGGTTTACAATAAGACATACAACAAGGTTTACAGCAAGACAAACAACAAGGTTAACCACAAGACATACATCAAGATTTACAACAACACATACAACAAGGTTTACAATAAGACATACAACAAGGTTTACAGCAAGACAAACAACACGGTTACCCACAAGACATACAACAAGATTTACAACAAGACATACAACAATGTTTACAGCAAGGTTTACAATAAGACATACAATAAGGTTTACAACAAGACACACAACGAAACTAACAACAAGGTTTACATCAAGACACACAACAAAGTGTACAACAAAATAAATATAACCAGGTTTACATCAAGCCACACAACAAAGTGTACAACAAAATATACAGCAAGGTGTTACAACAAGACAAGCAACAAGGTTTATAACAAGACATACAACATCTTTACAGCAAGGTTCACAAGGCATACGACAAAGTTTACAGAGAGACACACAACAAGGTTGACACCAAGACATATACTAATATTTACAAAAGGACATACAGCAAGGTTTACAACAAGACATACAGCAAGGTTTACAACAAGACAACCAGAAAGGTTTACAACAAGACACACAGCAAGGTTTACAACAAGACATACATCAAAGGTTTCAACAAG